AAATTACCGTAAAACAATATAAAGCAACACATCAACATTATGGGAGGCGGGGGGTATCATTTAGTGAGCTCATTGCTCACAGTACCTCTAGTTTTCATTACAAATTTAGCTACGGAATGCTCTGTTTACCTGATCAAAACATAGTGCTCACGCCGGATGTGCGCGGTCAGCAGAGTATGCTTACTCCTCCTAGGCACCCGATTTCTAAGGGTCCGTGTCTTATGTCTTCCACATATTTGTATTTATATTTGTATTGTTTTTGTATTTTTTTCTTTTTCAAATCAATCACTGTCCTTCATCATTTTTAATCACTTATATTTTTCATTAAAAAGAAACAGTTTGTAAAACAAAAATCAGATTATGAAAAGGGAAGTTAGCAAAAGAAGCTTTATAACAGTTGGTATAACGCTTAAATTCTGGCTTCAAACTCTTTAATGTAGATTGAATCAAAAAGCCAAAGCGCATTTGATAGTCACTATCGCCTACTCTAGTACACAGGATTTTTTAAATACTGGGGCTTGTGTACATTTTTTTCAAAAATTATACTTATTACACTTATTCATCATGTGTACAATATGAAAAAAGCAAAACCACACAAAAACAATCGCTCCACAAAAAAAAATACCCCACTATATACATTATAAGGGAGAAAGGTATGCCACTCCGGTTTGAAATTTCCCTAAGTAAAAGCAACGGAAGTGCATAGAGAATGATGATAAAACCCGAGAGAGATTAAGACGTCACCCAAAACTCCAGAAACGTTATCCTAATAAGTGAAACATTTCTATGCACTTCCGTTTCGATTACCTAGGGAAATTTAAAGGTTCTATAGAAAACTGTTTAAGGAGATAATCAGATATTGTAATTTTTCGAGATGCAGAGTTAATTAGCATGCACTAAGACAGAAATATATGTAGAGACGATGTGAATCGACATTTTAGGTTGAAATAAAAAAAATACATGTTTTTAAACCAGAAAGACCAGTGGAGGTAAAACGTAAACAAACCGGAGTGGCATACCTTTCTCCCTTATAATGTATAGTGGTTGTTTTTTTTTGTGGAGCGATTGTTTTGGGGTTTTGACGATTTTTTCATATTGTACACATGATGAATAAGTGTAATAAGTATAATTTTTGAAAAAAATGTCCAATAAGCCCCGGGGTTGAATATCGGGGGTGGGGGGGGGGGGGTCCTGTCCACAAGTACCTGTGCTCTAGTAGTGATTTTTTAAATACTTTGTGTAACAAAAATTTTGTCATACAATGTTAGTTTATACATGCCTTAAAGCAACTCACACAAAAATAATACTCAATTATAAATAGTTCCCTCATATGATAGTTATAAAAATCGTTCAGCTAATATGGAGAATATTTTTAAAATTTTAAAAAAAATGACAAACTGTAGGAAAAGACCACCCTAAACCAGAAAAATAACTTCTGAATAATTTAATTTCGATATGACTGCACTTCATTACGCTTAGATAAATTTGGTTAAAGGTGGTCTTTATATTGAAAATGTTGAAAATATGTATTTAATTTTTCACCTAGAATTATTTTAAAATTCAACAACCTGTCTTAATTTTATCCAATTGATAACCAAGACTTCCTAGCATAGTGGTATGATTGCTGGATTGGAGATATAATGATCATGAGTTCGAGTCTCACAGTACGTGTACTATGATTCTATTTTTTTTCTCATGTGCATTTTCTTATGATTTCTTTTATTTATTATTTTATAATACATGTATAAATAATTTTTAAAAGAGATATATAATGCAACATTACACATCTTGGGGAAAGGCAGTCTTAAACTATTTTAATGACCTAAAGTCATAGCTGCTAGCCTGTGTTATTTTTAAAATTTTTAAACAATCTTGTTTAGAATAAAAGTATTGGACAAGTAAAATTACTGTCATGCAACAAACTAACAACTATGAAAATATAACACTGGTTCACAAATGATTACATACATGTGGATTGATTTTGATTTGAAAAGGTACACGTATCCTATAAATAGTAACAGGTGATTTCCTTTTAAATACTTGTGTAGGCCGAGTCGTCGGAAAGGCAGCTATGGCTCTTTATGCAGATGATTTACATGTATTAGTTATTTCAAACGTCATGCTCTAGTTATGATTCTTGCCAAATGGTACGAGGTTGCCATTGGATCAACACAATATCTCTTCTAAGAAAAATATGGAGATAATGAATAGTATTCAATCTCAAAGTCCATAAAACAATACAAAATGAGAGCAGAGCAAACATGGACCTCCAAAACATCAGAGGTGGGATCAGGTGCCATGGAAGAGTAAGCATCAACTGCTGACCGTAATATATGAATGAAATTAAAATATAATATCCGCATGACCTTTTAATTAACATTTTATTCTTCACCCTTTATAATTATGTTTTATCAATAAATTTTGATTATTTATATAGGAGGACGACTACATGATGTAAGCGTAAGTTTCATTGACAATGGACGTAATGTTTCATGCGGTTTCTACCCCGGGCCAGCAGCCAATGGAGACCGTATCCTGTTTCTGTGTGAAAAGGAAACGAGGGGGAGTGGTGTTACCATTTCTATTTTATCACCAAACGGACAAAATGATACTCTTACCGTTTGCGAAATAGAAATATATGGTCAATCTTAAGAAAAAAAAATATTCTAACAAACCTTACTAATTAAATAAAATATGTTTTTAACGAGTTTTTATATGGACAATACCTGAATTATGCATTGGATTACATTTAGTATTCAAGCATTATTCAAAAGGAGCCACTAGCTATCATACATGAATATAGGTTCAGCGATTTTAAATATAATTGTAAAACGCCATTATTTTTTTTTTAACAAAGCATTTCGAGAAAGAGGGATATGTGCTTATATAAATAAAACTTACGTTAAATGTCACTTCTGTAGCAAAAATGTGTAAACAGATATTGATTGATATTTTATATTATGTTGTCGTTGTTTTTAGATATTGGTATCTAATGGTACAAGAGTTTTTATGTACCTTATTTTTTATTTGTTTTTGCTGACAAATTCTTATCAATAAATTATTTTCTTTGTGTTTGTTTGTTTATGTTCTTACTTCCTTTTGTTCTGCCAATTCTGTGTAAACATTGTTCAAAATAACGTCGATACTGAGAATTACTGGCGTTTACATGTACAAAGACTATTGACATAACGTTAAACTTTTAAATGGACATGAAAATACGAGACAACTTAAAATTACTCTTTATGTCCTCCATTTATCTTCTGTTAGACAAATGCCTGTACGGTAAAAAAAGTGCAATAAATCAGTTCTTACATGTACCTTCATAAAAGACTACAGTCAAAAAAAGAGAAAATTACTTTATATAGTTCCCATAATTCAACTGCGGGACGCTGCTTTCTACACATGGAAGAAAAATATCTTATTTTAAAAAAATGTATTCATTTCGTTTTTAAGTAAATATTTTTCTTCCAGATTTTTTAAATATTATTCTTCTTTGCTTTCCCATCTTCCTTTAACTGAAAGACAATAATAAAAAAAAATCCTTCGGATTTTCTGAAGAAAGTTACAGATAAAACATAATAGCAGTGAACAATTTTTTTTAATTTTAGATGTAAACAATAATTTTCAAGTTCCAAGGATTCTTCGTATCATCTTATAATTGAAACATATGAGATTTGAATGTTTAATAAAGTATTTAAATTAAGAAAAAAAAAATCTTTAATCGTTGTTTTTGTTGTTTAAAGTCCTTCTGGATAAAGTTTTCACTTATATGGATATGTCATCACTTGCCGGTGGAGAGCTGCAAATTTTGATCTGTACTCTGCATTCAGGACAATTGAGGAGCGAGGAATCCTTTACAAGCCAGCATTTATTGCAATACGGGACCTTGATTGGTATGGTCTCATCGGAAGGTTTTCTGCTGGTTTTGTTCTTGTATTTCTTCTTCTTTAAGATTAACTTTAATAGTTTATCCGATTCTATTCCACTATTTTTCTCACAGTCAGTCACATTCGAGATTTGATTTATATTTCAGAATTAATTACCAAAAAAGGGTCTACGAAACGCCCTTTCTTCAAAACTTTTATAAAATATTGATAGAATTACAAAAATTTTTAAACACACAATCTTTTGTATCTGTAAATTCGAGTAACATGGCGTACGATCAACCGTGCATAATCACTCAAGTAATCTTCATTTGTAAACGACAATTGTCAAATAAACGTAATTTTTTTCTATAAATAATAGCGTATCAGGTGGCACTCAGTGGTTATTTTCATTTCGAATTTGCTCTGTGAAGAAAATAATGGTTTGAAAATGAATAGACTGGTTCATCGTTATGTATCATAATGTAATGATTAAATAAAATTATGACTTTCTAAAATATTATTTCACTAAATCTACATAAATATCTCTCCGTTGAAAATGTTTTGACCAATAAATGCTTATAAATGCAAAGTATTCTTTTAAGTGTGGAATTGTATATCAACATAGGATTACGAAAAAAAGTTCAGAAATCATTGTTTATTGCAGTGTTGTACTTAGTTTCATCACGGTCCAATCAAATCTCTAAACGGATATCAAAGAAATCATAAATATTTTATAAATTTAGGTCATCTTTAGAAAATTGTTTGATTGTCCTCTCCAGGCTTTTTTTTTACTCCGGAAACGATATCTTTATTTTTTCCAACCTTTATTCATTCCATCAAGATCTATGTTGAATACTTCTAGGAAAAAAATTCAACACCTACGTAGCAAACCAATGTTTTACCCTGAATCGGGAGAGGGCAAGCAAACGTCATATTTAAAATGGCGTTACTTGCTATATCTTCATTGTTCTAGTTATGCAGTTAACGACCTTCAAAAGTGCTTAATTAATTCTAATTGTACCGAAAACACTTCTTATGGCAATTCTATAGTGAATCAAAATGAGAATAGCATTCATGAAACATACTACAATTTCTTTAAACCTATTCACAAATAACAATGGAAAATATATACTAATGCTTTGTTATATTTTATTCCATGCTTGATTGATGAATCAGAAAACATGAGCCAGAACTACAGGCCAAGCAGAGATCGAACGATCTTGGGGGTCCCAATGACTGAAGCTCGTCTGGTGAGGGAACTCTGGGCTGCTGACGTCACTTCCTTAAACTCATCTTTGCAAATAAATATGTATTCCGAATCATTCTCCATTAATTGCAAATAATCTTGTAGTTTGTCTGCCAACTCGTTCATGTACTGCAAAAGGGCTCGCAGACCATCATGGTCGCAATAACCCGAAAGCTTCGTCATAGTGGCACGAATAACTGACTTCATTTCACTAAAATGATATATTTTGGGAAATTTAGTGGCCATTTTCATGACGGGATAAAACAAAATAATGATAAGATACATTGAAAAACCAGTAGTTATTAACCTGCATACGTTAGAGTCATTTCTTTTCAATTTATTCATAAGGGAGACAACTTTCAACTTCAGGTCGCCAAAAAACATTTTCTGGACATCGCCATTGTTCATACAGTCGATCAACTTGTCCAGCCCTGTAAAGGATTAAATATGACAATTTATTATAGCAAACAACATTTTTTTTTGCTAACTGCTAACTTTTGACATATATAGTTTTTTTTTTCTAATACCGCATTAATAGAATTTGTAGGGAGATAAACATTTTGCGATTTTTCATAACAGTATATCGTTTAATTAAAAAAAAAGTAAGTTTAAAAATTTGTGATGTCAATAATGGTTCAGTTGTGGATTTCTGCGTCAGAATGAACTGTTAGAAATGTTCTAATATTAAGTCCTTAACACCGTCGTTAAGACAGCTTTAATTGTCTCACTAATTAAAACTTCTGATTATACAGTACATATATCTACATGTATCAAACCTTATTTATTTAATGTTTTTCGCAATTGATTTTCATTAAATATAAACATTATTTGAAGAAAAAAAGGGTATTGCGCTGGAAAAAATGTCTTCTTTTTTTTTTTAAAGGAAAAAATGTCATTTAATATTTTTTATATTAGTTTCATATTAGTTTCTATATCAAATTAGTACATTCCACGTATTGTAATGTAGCTATATCAATGGGTTTCTCTTTAAGGAATAAAACCACACCATACAGTATCAAAGCTGAATTGCGACTCTTCATGTTTAGAAATCCAACATTTTCTCCATAATTTGTATTCTAAGCATTGATAAGAAATTTGCCAATATGAACACGTATCTCTTTTTTTAAAATTCTGAATTTAAATAAGTTTAAAATTCTAAAACGCAAATTGAGTATTTCCTTCAAAAACTCAAAAACAAAGCTTTATAATTTCCAATTAATATCTATTATTCAATATTTGAAAATTAATATTAAAACTGAAGTCCCTTTTTTTGATAAAGTGTTAAAATGTCGAAAGGCAAAGCTTACTGAAATATTGCACAGGACTTAGATATATAATATAAGCATGATATAATCATGGTAAAACCCGTCGTGTTTACATTTCATGTGTTCGGAGAAAAATCTATGACGTCACATAAAACAAAAAAGCGAAATAAGAAATATCTACGAAAGATTTATTTCAATAGCCACGTGCACGTTAAAACATTTTCATGTTAATTTACAAAATACCCTACCTGATGATGGTCATGATCCCTCTAATGCAATAAAACTGCCATTGTATTCAATAAAAATGATTTTGAAATTCTAGCGAAATTGCACAAAATGAAATAATAAAAAAGAGAAATGTTATATAGACAAATTGAATTATTGTCACTCTAACTATGAGTTCACCTTGAACGCTGGCACTAATTTTGTTTCAAATCTGATTTCATGACTGTGCTGGGTATTCCTACCATTGCTTTATTCATATTCCATTGAACATAAGAAAAAAATGTAATTTTTTTGGCTTTTTGTTTTTGTTATTTCTTATTGTTTTTCAAACTCAAATTTTCACAGAAAAAAAAGAATATTCAAAATGTCTCCATAATTTCCATATGTAGCGAAATCAGGCACATGCATATGTTGATAAAATGCGGTCATCGTTATTTATAAATTAATGAAAAATATGAATTTTAGTCCATTTGTGAGGTATTAAGGGAAACAGGAATCAAAATGATAATTATTGCTCAGATGTTTGCAGATCAATTTTGGTTTTAAATCCTAAACACTATTTCTTGCAAATGTTTAACTTGATGTCATAGTTATCTTCCCTAGAAATGTCAACATACGGGGCTTTTATCACGCTTACGTTTTGATTCATAATAACGTTTGCTATATTGGACCCAGTTACACCTTCCGATATCTCAACAGTTTATTATTGAAATGAAAAACGATCATTTAGTCGTGATTTTAACAGCGTTTTCTGACAGATTTTCCCACAAATTTACTTTAAAAGTTGTTTATTGTAATAACCTAAAAAGTAATTATTCAATACATAAACAAAGGGAGATTAAAAATGCTTAAATATTTTTAATCTGAATTTATACATTAATATTTAAAGGATGCATGTCTTTCTTCATATATATTTTATTTTTATTTGTACTTCATGTTATTAACTCAGTAAAGGACCTATAAATATAAAATATCAAAATCCCATTCCCTGCTTCACTTTGGAAACGATTATGAGTTCTAGCCATTTTTATAAATCAGACAATATAATGTTTCTTTCGATATCGATGAAGGTGTAAATGACATTTGGTTTGAAGAGAAAGAATAAAATAAAAGAAAACATATTAGCATTTATTTGCTTATTTTTTTCTAAGCTTAGTTTAGTTTCAAGGGGAAACATTCACTCCAGCTATTACTATGTTTAACTAATTTTTTAAAAGATCAAACTATCATCTTCCTTACTATCAGCTTTGGAACACGTGATGCTGTCATAAGCTTCAAGAAGTTCCTTCGCTTTCTTTCGGTACTGTATGGGAATACATGGATTCATCCCCGTAGGTACACAAGCCTTGTACATGTCGATGTACCTAAAAGAGTTATGAGAAGGTATAGTAATTAAGCTATATTGATACTTGTAAAGAGAAAATATATGAACTTGTTTTTCTTAATGATATAAAATTTTCAAGGTTTCATGTTTGTTATATTATGGACAAAGTTTATATCGTAGGACTTTGAAGAAAAATAGCAAGAAGCAGCTGTCCAATCCTTTTATTATCTCAGACTAGATGACATTTTGACGAAAAATATTTCCGTGGTCCGTGTTATATGTATGTACTCTTAAAGAGTTGTAATGCTGTTTAATTTCATTTTGATCGACCTCTGTTCGTTATGTTCATCATTTTTTTATTTCATTTCATACATTCAATTTTAATGTAGATAATGGAACAAGTAAGTTTAGCTTAATTTTTTTCAATGTCCTTAAAACTAGAGATTTATATTAGATTAAGATATATCAAAAGATATCTCAAGGTCATTAATATATACATCTTATAAATATGCATGTAAAGATTTGTTCAATATATCATTTACAATGTACACCTAAATTTAACACTTTCCAATCCCTGTATCAGCTGTTTTCTGTGCATGTTGTTTCCAAAAAAAAAAAAAAACAAAAAAAAAAAAAACAAACAACAAACAAAATACTTTAAGAAATCTTATTAAAAATAAACACTAATACTCTTGATCTTGAATACTGTTCGTTATCTCCACATTTTTCATCAAATCATCAGAAAAATGGGATTAAATCTATTGTGAAAACACCAGATTGCCAAATCTGCTACATGTACTAACTATACAAATCAATAATGAAACATGAAATGTACACATTCTTTAGATATCAGACATCTTTTAACTTAACCAACCTGCATTCAAAACTGAAGAGCCCGGGTTTGAAGCGAACTCCTTCTATATCTCCATCGGGTCCAGATGTAACATTTATTCTTTCGCTCAGTTCTCTCTGAATATCAATTTTACTGTCCATGCACACTCTGGTTGGACAATTGATTTGGGTTGCTAGATATTTTAAAAAAAGTTTTAGTTAAAAGCATAAAACAAGTATACCTCGTTTATTCTAATTGACTTTATTTATAACGTCAGTAATACACACACAGAGAGAGAGAGAGAGAGAGAGAGAGAGAGAGAGAGAGAGAGAGAGAGAGAGAGAGAGAGAGAGAGAGAGAGAGAGAGAGACTTACCTTCATAGATGTCAAAATATAGTGTTGCAGTAAAAACTACAGTGAGCAATCGAAAAGGAAACATTTTGAAAACAAGCTTTTCTATTCCTCCTTCAGTTCTTCAGTGAAATATATATTTTGATTCAAGTTTATTTAAAACAAAACACTTTCTAGAATTATGCAATCTGGAATGCGGTGGGAAATAGAGCCAAATTACCTAATTGCATCGTCAATCGGACATTTTGAAGCCATCTGTTGCATTAAATTAATCATATTATAATTTTAAATCATCTTTGTCAAAGTATGTATTCACTATGACAAAAGAATTGACCTATACGAAAGAACAATTTCCAGGAAAAAGTGACATTTAAATGTTAATCTTTATTTGTTGTTTTCTACCATATATGTCTAAATTTTTCAAATTTGTATTTTTATACCTGAAATTTATTATTTACAACTTAACAATAAACCTCCAAAGTTGGCCAAAACACCATTTTTCCGTAAAAGCGTTGATTTTGGCATGAATTTTGGCCTAGAAGTCCTTCAGGGCAGGCCTGCCCCTAAATTAAATTGTGATAATTTGATAGGTTAGAATGTCAGGTATAATTTAAGATATGATTTTTTAGGGGCACCCCTGCCCGAGGGTCGAAATTCACAAAAAAAAACTACAAAAAATAAGGAAACCTGATTTTCATAATCTGCTTCAAATTTATAGCTTTTATTCTTACAGTCAGACTAGCTCAGTTTATATATGTGGTCATTTTTAACACCGTGGAAACTTTCTTCTTTCAAGTCGGGGGATCAAATCCACCTGGTACCACAATTTCAAAGTTTTAAATTTCACCTTTTCAAAGACTATTTCAATTTTTTTACATAGACTTGTGTATATTCCTTCACTTATCTATGATTTATGCCTATTCTTGAAATTAGAAGCAATAGAGAGATATCAAATCGTAGCAATCCAATGTACAGTTGTCAGTCAGGTGGAACAAACCTAAAAGCACACTTTCTCCGAGGACAAGAATAACTCACTATGTGTTACTTGATACAGGTATTCTTGGCAGCATTGAGCTGCCAAGAATTTTAATTGTATATATTCCTTAGAACTTAATCACATTAATTTTGGCTACATATATCAGTAACTGTACTCCCTTGGATTTCACTTAGACCAATTTAATTTGCACACATTAATGACATGTTTTATTATATCATCGAATAAATAGCCTAGACATAAGGACGCAGCACTGTTAAAATGCCTACTAAGAGAAATCAACAGAAAATAGACGTGCAAAAACGGGGATTTTTTCAAAACTGAATACCCGTGGGGATCTGGGTTAGAATAGGTCCGCAGTATCTCCTTGCTTGTCGTAAAAGGCGACTAAATGGGGCGGTCTTTCGGATGAGACCGTATAAATAGAGGCCCCGTGTCACAGCAGGTGTGGCACGATAAAGATCCCTCCCTGCTCAAAGGCCGTAAGTGCCGAGCATAGGCTTAAATTTGCAGCCCTTCACCGGCAATGGTGACGTCTCCATATCAGTGAAATATTCTGGAGAGGGACGTTAAACAGTATGCAATCAATCAATCAATCAAAACTGAATTTATTTTAATAAAGCTGTTTATTATCACATAACTACTTATGGAAATAGCATAATATAACTCACTCTATACTGTATGAAGTTTGGTCCCATCGATGGACAGTCACGTGATGAATGCTTAGTTCGTGTACTGAATGTAGGTATGAACAAATTTCAATATCGCAAGGGCATACCCTAGTTGAAATTAAAAATTCAAGCTATTAATTGTTTCTGCATACTTTGTAGTTATTGAAAAGTGCTGCAACTTTGAATAGAATTCACGTTTTAATAGTTATTTCATTAGGTACATGTAAATAAGAAAATGTCGAAATATATTTGACTTTTACCAAATATTTTATGTATTTATGAAATCACAACCTCGATTTAAAGAAAGCAGCAGCACTTTTCAAGTTAAGAAATATATCCTTTATCTGTATGCAAAAATGGTTAAGATCTATAAAGGATATACCCTTGCGAAAGAACAATTTTATGAGGCATCTCATTGGAAAATGTACATAACCTGTACATAAAAACACGACATAATTAATAAAATACATTCTCTTGATAGTTATAAATAATCACACTAAAGAAAGGATATACATTGGTATTAATCGACCGTTTAAAACATGTAAATGATATTCCGTTCAATAATAAACCGCATTTTTCATTGTTTAAAAATCCCTCAATCTGCCTCTCAGAGCACATGAAATACGTCATTTCAACCAAAATGACGTCATGTTTACAAGTTCATCGCGATCAGTGCTACATGGGATTTAACTAGCAATTGTTTTTAATGCATTGATAAGTTTTATTGATGTTTATAATGGTAATGCAGTAAAAAGTTGCAAATCATTTCATTTTCAGGTATTATGAGAAATACATAAAAGTCATATTTTTATCTGACGTCACAGTAAACTTTTCCCGTATAAATTAGGCCCCGTCCCCTTTTTCGAGCCTTAACAATGCTGCGGAGTAAAATTTCAGAGACAGTAGTCATTTCATTATGCACAATGAAAAGTAAAGACAAATATCACTTATTACATTTGGAGGTTAAAAAAAAAAGATCAGAAAATCAATGACAGGGTTCCTCCTATTTCTTCTCACTGAAATAAAGATTTAGGAAAAACAATTTGTTATATGGATTCAGCCTAATTTCATTAATCGGAACGAAAATGGACAAGCTTTTTGTAAAGAAAAAGCCCGGTTGTATAGGTCAGTTCCCTATTTATGATGAAGTGATCCTTTATTTGAAAATGCTATACCTTCTTATTGGTACATGTATATGACAATAATGAAATATTCTGCAAACTAAATTTTAAACAGACTATACATTTAATAGTGCATAATACTTTGTAAAATTGAAGGTCAGGAGTTTAAAACAGATAAAATGACATAACTTAATGAAAGTTAAAAATAGTTAAAAAGCATTCTATAGCGAATTCTTTAGTTATCAAAATTTAAATCTTAGAATATTGAAGTGCCAATGTAAAGAAAAAGCCCGGTTGTATAGGTCAGATCCCTATTTATGATGAAGTGATCCTTTATTTGAAAATGCTATACCATTTCTTGATAACTCTTCTTATTGGTACATGTGTAAGACAATAATGAAATATTCTGCAAACTAAATTTTAAACAGACTGTACATTTAATAGCGCATAATACTTTGTAAAATTGAAGGTCAGGAGATTAAAACAGATAAAAAGACATAACTTAGTGAAAGTTAAAAATAGTTAAAAAAAACATTCTATAGCGAATTCTTTAGTTATCAAAATTTAAATCTTAGAATATTGAAATGCTTCAGTATTTATATTCGAAATTCAGTTCATCTGAAAATGTTCGTTCTCCCGAATTAGTCTTATATTCCTATGAACACATTCAGCTGTCATACTTTAAGGGAAAAAATTAGTATTGCAATGAGATTTCTTTTACCCGTATGGAGACGCCCAATTTAAATTTGAACGAATTTCGAATTTTTTACATGGATATATCAAATTATTGGATAAACAAAGTAAATTCACGGGTTCTTTGACATTCGCTAATAACTTTTATTGTGCTGTATAAGCAATTATACTCCTTCTCGATCGGCATTTGTTGCTTCTCTTACATTTTTACTTCTAAGTCCAAAACTCATCATTCCAAAAAACTTTACTTTCAGATTAACAGACACTCCAGCAGATATACGGATGGATAGAAAGACATACTACAATGTCCTGAGTCTTATAAAAATTATTTAGCCAAAAATTTCATAAACTTGAAAATCTACTATAATCATGCTCTGATATACTTCAGACGCATCAAGAGCGGGAAGAAACTCTTTACAAACTCAACAATTGAATTCCACTAGTATTGAAGATCTTTTGGAACATGTGAAGAAAATGCAAGAGGATAATGTTATATAGAAGACTGTTATCACACGTTCCATTGTGTAAGGCTAAACCTATCGATTCTAGCTTGAGTCTTTGATATTTCATAGTAAGAAAGAAAATAATGTAGATTTGTTTTTTAATTAAATGGAAAAAAATGAAGCAAGCTAAACATAGTGTACACGGAATCATGGCATATGTATACGGTACATGCATAAATAATGATCACCTTATTCGTGACCTCATGCCTTTTGATCGAATATTTGCCAAGTGAAAATAAAACAAGTCGAGAATATTTAAAAAGTTTAAAAGAACATACTGTGAAATATCATATGTGATGTATATAGAGAATAATACATATCTTTTTCCAGATCACATCCTGTATCAGCCCGAGACACCAATATTAGCCAGAGGGCCAAAGTCCCTTTGGCTGATATAGGTGTCTCGGGCTGATACACGATTTGATGTGGAAAAGGATATGTTTTATTATGTTTAGAACATGCTTAGTAATAAAATCGAAACACATTAAGTTAATTAGAGGAAAATGAATAAATAATCATACGTCTTACATGTACACGATTTATTGTCTCATACGGTTTTTTTTCCTACGTCTATTAGCTTAAGGTTGGCAAGGGTTTATTTGAAAGTTTGGGATAATTATTCTTATATGACAGACGGGTGAAATTCTAGCATTACTTGCATTCCGAATTTCATGAAATACAAATAGAAATTATCGCCAGTGAAGTCTTGAACTTTTCACTTTTATTAACACATCTTTCTCCCTTCATAGTCGTCATGTAATTATGTCATTTTGAATTAATACTTAACGCCTACGATTTATCGCGACTTCCATATTTCAGATGATAATAATATATGACTTTTCTGGTATATCAATGTAAAATTGTGCTTTTGAAAATGTTCATTTCCTAAATAATGATCCCAATGCTGTCTAAACTTACATGCTTTAAAGAGATAAATTTGACATTTTGTTAAATTCCGACAGCATACCATTTGAGAAATCGAAACAATTTTTTTATATCATATATTCATGGTATTAATACCCAGGATTAATTCTAGTTTAATTTTTTTAATATAAAATCTAGTTTCCTGTAACCGTATGTTTAAGTACATAATACCAAAGGCATATTGCATTTAAATATATTGTTTTAGTTTAGTGTCTGTAGAATAAGAAAGTCGGATTTTATCTTTTTCAGTTTTTGCTAAATAAAAATGTCAAGCAATTGAAGCTGCTGAATTTACAAAAAACAGTTGGATCCCTTATTAAACGCTTTTAAGTTTAATGATGAGAAAATATGTATTTATATATTTGATATATTACATGGATGGTCATGAGCTCCTGGGTCAGATTATATAAATATATATTATATATACATAATATAGTTCTTATCAAAATTATATGAACAGTACAATAAGACAACCTTAATTTTCATATCGCTCAAACCGTGACACTTCATTTTTGACAACGTTAGACATACACTATCGAACGTTTAAGTCGTTCAACCTCCAATCGTCCGGTCTTTCTGTCCTCAGCTGATCATTCAATGACCCATGATTCACCAAAAATCGCTGAAACCATCAATAAACAAGTCTCTTTTTTACATTCTTTCCTCTGTGAGTCTGAGTAATCATCGTAACTGTCTCTACAGGGGATATCCCGATTTCAAGGAAAAATGCATTGCAGCTCGTTTCGGCGTTTTATTCCTTTTTGACATTTCCTTTGTTCAATACATCAGATATATAAAACGATGTTTACGATCAAAAAAGCAATGACGTCATCTTATTCTTAAATAAAGACTAGAAAATGTCGCAAATTTTTTAAGATGCTTTTTAAATGTGTCCGTTCTTTTTCATTCTAACAATATACACTTTAAAACGTGACGTTTAGTTGTGACGCGAAGACAACCCTTATGTTTATTATAAACGTCTAAAAAATAAATTCAATTAAACATTATCAAATAAAAATTTTAATTTCAATTATATTTATTTTTATGCATCTTTTGGTGCATTATACCGTATAAGCAGAATTTTTAGCGAGGATTTAAATTTGGCATTGTAAGCGAGCGTGTTGAGATCGCTAAAATTGAATATCGCTTAAAATTAATTGTGTTGTATTTGTAATGTATTCTCTTTTGAATATCGCCAAAAATACATCCCGCTATAAATAAATTACCCATTAGATGTATGGACACAGTGATATTACTTTTGGATCAACCCTCGTAATTTCAAACTTTTTATTTTTTTATTGCGCTGGGATTATCGAATTTAAAAAAAATAATTCTTGGCAATTTTCTCATTATATTAGTAGCTTTGACTTTTAGATAAATGTGCAGTTTTGCAATGTTTTTGCCAACGATATTATTTTGATTCATGATGACATTTGGAGTTCAAGATTTCAAGGCGAAGAGGTGTAATAGTGTAGCAAATGTATCGCATAATTTGCACAATTTTAAATCATTACATACTAATGCATCTCTTTACATTGGGTACCTACTTTCACCAGTAAATGGAAACATTTCTAAATCAATTCTTGTGAAATCAATTTTAAAACCCTAATTCTGTATCACTATCGATGTTTATTAAGTATATCTACCGTCAGCAGATTTCACATTACGAGGGCTGTAAAAAAAATGTCCTGAGCTCTATTACACACAATATAGAAATCATATGACATTAAGCTTGACTTTCTCTCGTGAATAAATCCTTAGTTAATTGATTACTGTTTATCTGACCACTTTTCATCACATAGCTTTATTGCGAGAAACTGGAAAATATGAATTGTTTGAGACAATGCATTAAAAATGAATGGTAAGGTATCAGTAAACAAGAGCGAAATTTAACGCTTCATGAAAGCTGCTGTAAAACTCGCAAAGAATACCAAAGAAATATTCTCTGAAATATGTGAAATTTACAGCAACTGATGTCTGTTTTATAGATACATAAGCAGATAGATTTCAATAAACAAAAATGATAAAATGGACATCAATAATGGGTACCATCCATGGCGACAAATACTTACAACAACCAATGTAATGTTTGCAAAAATTCATCAAATAATTATTGATGATGTTTGATTGAATTTAAAACACATAGCAAAATTGATAGGCATTATTTTAAGGGTAGTTTACAATGTTTTAAAGAAACATATGACAGTAAAAAAGCTTTGTACTCACTGGTCACATTATTTTTTGAAAAACGAGTGATAATAATAGCGTGTAAGAATATCTTAACAATTATTTTTAAAAAACCAAAAATTGAAGTCATCCACGTTTGTCTGAACTTCAAACAGATAGTGAAACTCAATTTCATTGCTTTAAACCATCAAAACAAAAATTAATTTACAATCAGATGCACTTGACAAAAACAGCCAAAGTCTGAAAAAGGCAACGAATTTCAAAAGCACAAAAATATTTTTATATGTCATTTTCTTAAATAACAGTGGTCCTCTTGTTCAAATTCTTATTTGGGAAGTCAGTTCAATATCTGGAGAAGTCTACAAAGAAACCTTTTGCAGAAATAATCAAAGGGTTTATGAGAGGATGGAAACAGAATCAGGAATCCACTAATTTAAATTTCGTCATGACAGCGAGTTCTAACCTACAGGCCATGAAGAGAAAATTAGTTTTGTGTCCAAACCCACAGGCCATGAAGAGAAAATTAGTTTTGGGGATAAATATAAAGTTAATGTTTTGTCAAACCAACAATATTTGCCAGATTCTTCAACTGGCATCGGAGTTTCATAAATATTATGAATTCCGTTGAAAATTACTCCAGACGATAGGCCAGATATGAAAAAGAAGACGTTGACACCTTGTCAGAATGGATTAAATGTATCAGATCCATATTAAAGTCGCGTATTAAAATATTGAGGGGCAATATGAAAACCATCTATCCTTCTGTGTTCAATAACTTAGAAGTGAAAAAGGAATTAGATAGATTTCATGATCAGTACGTTCTGGTCCCTGCCGTTAAAGCACGTAACAACATTGTCTTCGTTTGTAAGGACCGTTATATAAACTGTAGTTTAGAGGAACTTGATTCTACAAGTGGTAATCCTACTTATACTCATACTTCCCTTTCTAAGGAAGAAATTCTTCAAAATTATATGTCAGTTTCAAATATTTTTAATATTCTACAGAGCCAAAATGAATTTGAACTACCCTAAATATATTTGATTCCGAAACTTCATTAAGATTTTTACAAACAAAGATACATTGCAGGTTCCAGTAAATTTTCAACCAAGTCTCTTTCGTTACTCCTCACTAAGATATTGACAGTAGTGAAGGAAAAACTTCAAGAGTACTGTGCAACAATATATTCAATAAGCGGTTTGAATCAGATGTGAATGCTGAAAAATTCCAAAGAACTTTTGGACAATTTGAAATCACAACATTTAACGAAAATCAACATCTTAAAAACTTACGACTTTTAAACTTTATACGTAACCTTTCCCACGGTAAGTTATAGTCCAAGCCTTTTTATATCATTGACAGCTGCTTTTTTGATAAAAATGGAACTCGTTAATTTACTGGTCATTGGTCATGTGTCAGCAAATACAATTTTATTATTGAGTCAAATGCTGACTCACGTTTTTCATACTAATTGTTAGTCCATTATTTATACACTAAATTAACGAGGGATTTTTCCATTATTTCCTGATCATGACAAGGAACACACGGCGGGTGTGACCGGTCAGCAGGGTTTGCTCACTCCCCCATGGCACCTGATCCCACTTTTGGTGATTCGGAGGTCCGTGTTTGCTCTGCTCTTATTTTGTATTGTTTTATGGACTTTGGGATTGAATACTGTTTGTTATCTCCATATCTATCTTTCATTCCTTTACTTTTTCATTTAAAAAAACGCCATTCGGAAAGAAGAAACAAGTCAAAGATATCATAGGATTTGCCATATTCCAGTATACGGAGGGCAATACTCAAAAATACGTTTGAAAAACAATCAGAAACTTGACTTAATTTTTATTTAACTTTGATTTAACTTTGATTTAACTTTTCTATCGTCAGCTTCCCTTACTTATGAATATACTATCATCACCCGCATACTGAGTTAATATATATCTCAGTCGATTCGGTACGGAGAAGCAAATTGTAAACTCTGAAATATTCTTTTGAATACAATAAACATTATACATACTCTTTTGAGTGTATCAGATCTTGTACTGTAAATGTACTTTTTCCACCGTGTCATTATTTTGTAAAGTCCCAAAGTTTACTTAAAAATATTTTGTACGAATAACGATTTCGTCCATACACATAGGTATGCTGGGACAAATTTCACCGGAAAAGGTGATGGTTCGTTTATTTGTTGTTTAACCTCCCCTCGAGAACGTTTCACCCATTTTGACACGCCGCCACTTGTTGATTTAAGGCTGCATTTTAATAAGTACACTCGGCACTCAAAGCCATTGAGCAATGGGTATTTTATTCGCGCCAGCACGTAAGGATCAGCTCACTACTCAGCGACATTAAAGCAGACGCTCTAAGGACTACACCATGCGGGCCATCGAAAAAATTTTAACCGAGTACCTGGCGTGCTCAATATACGGAAAACAGTTCCATAGTATATGTATTTATATTGCTCATCCCCCATAACCCTACCTTATAAAATACCTCCCTACACACACACACCATACACACACACACACACACACACACACACACCCTCACACACACACACACTCACACACACACACACACACACACTCATCCTTAAACACGAACACACACATGTACAAACGCCCACAGATAGTATGTCGGAAATCAGTAAAAAGTCACATATACTTGCATCAAATATATTTTTTACCTTCATGTGAACATGTCATAGATATCGTTTAATACGACAAGATTAGAGCTTCCTCTTCAAATTGTTTAAAATGACTTTTAAATTGATAATTTAAAAGTGTATGTTTATAATTTCTTTGGTAATTGATGCATCTTTTTATTTACAAAAGTTGCAATGACAGCTAATGCAAGTTCAGAGTATGGGGACTTATGGAAAGCAGCCAATGCAGTAGATGGAAAAACAGAATGTGGAACAACGGATGTTGCTATAACCAATTTTCAGATAAATCCCTGGCTGAAAGTCAATCTATACAACACTAGCACTGTGGATAGAGTTTTGATTTACAATAGGCAAGACTGCTGTGGTAAGAATTATTTAAAAACTTGAGATACCAATATTTTTTAAGACCATTACATGTCAATGAAATGCAGATTTTCCCATAAAGATAATTCCATGGAAAATTTACGTGTTGCCCATGCCCATTTCACTGACTTAAACTAATAAATGGAATGTCATCTTTTTTATGAAAGATTCAAAATTTAGCTAGTTCCGAATAAAATTCCGTTTTGCCGATTTGACAGTGCTATAAATATACACGGGCGTTCTTTTAAATCTAACTTGTTTGTCACAATAGTCAATATACAGATATACCTCTTAATTTAAATGTAGATGTAACATATTTAATTCTTCCTAATTTATCTTAACAAATAAACTTGAATAGTTGACCATTTGGGAATAGACCGACGGTTTCCATAAAAATTGATTCTACAGAGGAAAATAATTGCCCAATACATCATATAATCGACCTTCCTGAATATTGTTAAAAATAAATATTTCATTTCTAATTATTTTCTCTGTTGTAACTCTTTGGAAGACAGTTATATTGATTTCTTGATCATTCTACCGGAATGTAAAATCGCCAAGTGAAATCCTGGGAGTTAATGCCTAAGTCACATTTCAGGGTCGATGGCCGTAGACCGGTGGTTATCGCTTATAATAAATCCGTGGTGTGAGCGATTCCCCAACATCAGTCCAAATCGGCCTAGTAGTCCTTTTAATATCAGTCACATTATCAAGCGATGGGGTAAATGTTGGACAACCAATGCGTTTTTATTTTATAAAAAATTGCGTGGTTGCCGGCCGGACTTACAAAGGCCCAGCGATGCATTGCTAATCATAAAACAATGTTACAGGGTAATCTGCCGATGTATATTACATCGCTCATACATAGGTGAATATCGTTCGTATGTCTGTCGACTATGGGCCATAGTTTGGTCAACCATCTGTTGCCATCAACCTTGAGAGATGTGTTTATTATCGGTAGCCGATAAGGAGCGATGTTGGGCATCGGTGGATTCATCGCTAATTTTTAACTACAACTGATTTTCTACTGATGACCTCTCACCGATTCGCCAAATGGCCTCAGTCACCCTAAGATTACTACAAGTGTCCGGCCGGAAACCACGCAATTTTATCAAAAACGCATCGGTTTCTCATAGTATACACCATTGCTGGATAAAGTGACTAATACTTGAGAGGAAAACTGTTTATAAATGATCCCTGCCAAGAAAAGGAAAATAACAGCGTACGTGAAAACTATGCTTTTTGAATAAATCACCCAAGAACTCATATTTAAAATATGATTTTATATGTAAAAAAAGGGTTATCTTTAATGGTGTATACTTTTCAGATGGATACTATAACTTAGAAGAAAAAAAGAATTAAATTATTACAATCAATCTGGCCGATTGAAATTGGGGAGGGGGGGGACCAAAAAATATCGATGTTATGAGCCACATGAAATCTGAAAATGCTTAATTGCCATGGAAAGACGTCGGTAAATTACTAAACATTGAAATATCATATCATTATGTAGAACTTTGACAAAGAAAAAAAATTAACAATATTTCTATCAGATAGATGCCCTATTTTCTTAGAAATACCTTAGAGAAAACATGCAGAAAATATAGCAACGGTCTATTTAAAAAGGATGTTTTTAACAGAAGATTTGATAAACTTGCTTGATAAATGACAAAACGTAGGAAACTTTTTATAGCCGAAAAACAAAATTAATAAAAAAAATGTAGAATAAAAGAAAAGGTGTCATTTTATTATGATAAAGAGAAGCAAATGCTCCAAGCATGTACATGTTTTATTAGTTTTCGTGTTTTTAGAGAGAACCATTAGAACATGTTCATATATCCAAAGTAAGGACTAACAATGCTACTTTTTATGTTCGAATTGCGCCAAGTAAAGTTGATTTCCTGCAAGTCAGAAATTTCGGTGACTAGGGCATTTTTCCTGTGTCTGACAACGCAGTTGCATATAAGCTTAGAGAAATAAATAAGATCTTGAAGAAAATAAGGTGAACTGAACTTTTCCATCTGTCATATTAGATAGATCAAAGACATTGTGAAATCTTTTAATTCTCAAAACACATGAAAACAATCAAAGGAAGATTGCACAATGTCAAAAATGCCATGGGAAATAATATGCGTCAGAGCCATAATTTGGGCCATTCCTGAAGATGAGTATGCTGAGGTTTTCTGTGCATGGATACAAAGACATAATACATGTGTAAAGGGTAACAGGGAATTGAATCGGAAAAGGATTGAATCTATTCAGAATATGTATTATGTGCTTTTTTCATATTTGCAGATGACATGTTGCATTATTTATTGAACGACCCTCGTAATGCTAAGGAAATCAAAGATAGTAAGAAACGTGGGAGAATTTACATATATGCATAACAGCTTCGCCAACTATCGTAGATCCCTGGAATACTCTACTAACTAGACAGTTATTCCTCAAATATCCAGATGTAAGCCTTATTTCCCAATACATTTATAGAATTAGAAAAAAAAACACATTCAAGAATAGGGTAAAGAAAAAATTTGAAGAATTATTAAACATGATTATTTTCTCAATTCAAACATATTTATAGAACATATTGCATCATTTAACGTTAAAAATCATATTTGAAATGTATCAAAAAAACAAATAACATAAAATACTGCAATTGAAAAAAATGCTCTGCATCAGTATTTCTTGTTTTAAATCATATTTTGAAATTAATTACAACAATAAAATGTTATAATATTGAATAAACTATTCTTTGCATCGTTGAATGTTGTTTTTTTTAAATACATGTAGGTGATATAAAGAAAGAGGCAAATCGCATGAAAAATACTGCAAGGAATGAAACTGTTGATACTGTTTCTTGGTATTTGAAACTGTAAAATGAGTTCTTAAAAAATTTATACATGTACTTTAACATATCATTATAATGCACTAATATACATGTAAATAAATGGGGAAAAAGTCTTCAAAACAGATTTGTCTGGAATGGAATTAAATAAAATATTAATTTAAGGAAAATATTTTTGGGGCACGGCCATGCAGACATTTAATTTGGGGCAGTTTCAACTACAAAAAATTCCTTTACAAGCAAAAAAAAAAAGCATTATGCAACTGGTAATGTTTTTAAGAGGGCACAAGCCTATCGTAGTGGATTTTTCTACAGTATTCTATGTGTTGGTAAAATACTTGGAGGATCCCTCCCCCGTATTAACATACGGTATTTTTTATTTTACATTCATAGATACAATTGAAATATTACATTACTTCTTCCTTATCGGGATCGTTCAAATGAATATTTCACGGAACAGAGGATATAAACCCACAACATAGAAAGGATAATAAATGTCATCAAAATATAATCAAAAGTTTAATTTCTATAGATTATGTCATGTGCAATGAATTTTGAAAGGGAGGGTTCCTAACAATTTTAAAAGGAGCCAATAGACAAAAATACTAATATTTAAAAACACAGCAGAAACCATTTGTATTAGGTAATAACTTTTAAATTTTCATTTATAAATTCTTTAGCTTAATTCTTCAATATAATTTTCTTGGACAAAATATTATTGTCTATTGATTGAAGAGACATTAGTTCATTGTATCCTTATCCTATAATATATTGAAAACTTTCGATTGGTGGTATGAAACATGACTCTTGACTTTCTTTATTGTTCAGATGAAGACTCCAATTCCCCTACGTGACCCCCCTCCAGTGCGTTTTCGCCGGATATCTTGTTTTGTCAATTAAATTTAATAGAGATTTAAAGAATTTGTTTTAAGACAACTGGAAAATCACATATCTGATGTTTTAACAAGTTTTAAACGCTATTGATTTAGTTTATTTGTATCATCCGTATATTTTTTTCTTATAATTTAAGTAAATATTCTTAATTATGATTTATTTTGTAACATTAAAAAGAAAAATGCTACAAATTAAGATTTTGTTGTTTTTAAACTGGCATACTACAAAACCTGACCTGATCCTTTTTTTTGCCTCTAATTTGGCTTCAAACCATTTTTGGTTACAAAAGTTGGCCTGGTCTCAAATTTTGCCTTTGAAAAAAATGGCTTTAATTTTGGTCTTAACCAAAAATATTTAGATATCAGTTATAAAATAGGTATAATATACAATCATGTATCTATCACATATCTAATCCAAAAAAATACAGGCATACATGCAACAGAAATACAAAACTATACAGTGCAGTGTGTGAATGGTGATGATCCATCAATAAAAAGTGGGACTTTGTTTAAATTATCAATGACATTTGATATTAATATCATAATTAATATTATACCGAATGTTAATAATTTGAAAAATACAAACTAAGGCCAAAGAATTAAAACAGGCAAAATTTGATGTCAGTCCAGCTTTAAATGCCATAATGAGTACGCAATTTTCTCTATCCAAATGCAATGTGATAATTAAAAGAAGAAGGTACAGTTTCAATACAAAGAAAGCCCGATATTTTTCTAAAATATGAAAGTGATATAAGAAATCAAAACTCATTCTTTCTGATAATAGGAATTCCGTGCAATACGTAAATACAAATTATTTTTCTCTTATGACCTCCTTAATGCTGATTGTGACGTCATTACTTGTACATTTTCCCGTATTTTCTTAAAAAGTTTCAGAGGACATCAATTTTCAGTGGAATTTTCTTACATAAAGAAAGAAAACATACTCTGCCACCGTCACCCAAAAAGATTTTGAGATATTTGATTTTTCATAGCAGTTTACATAGTATATCCAAAAATTAAAGTGGGCGACGGTGACAGACACTATTTTCTAAAGAAAAATTGTTATTATGGACAGAATAATGTACACGTGTATATGGATAATAAAAACTTCAGTTAGGCACCCTAGGGCATGGACTTTGTCAACTAATTTTTCTAAAATAAGGTAAGAAACTTAATGATAGAACTCCATTAAGATATAAAGCCCATACTAAATTAATAATATTCATATGTCCCTACTTCTCTTTAATTTATTCTCCTAACTTACTTGATAGTCAAAGCATGCCCCGAGTGCGATCAAATTTCAAGTCAGGGCAGGCTTCTGACGCAAAAGTTAATATCACAGGGATCTCAACAACTCGTTTTAAGTCGATATTTTTGTAAATTCTATTGTCGTTTTAAAGATCTCATTAGCAAATATAACCTATGATTGGGTCGTATTTTGGCTGATTAGTTTCATAATTTTAATTGTTAGGCTTTTGATTTTATTATAAATTTAACTACGGAATACTCTGTCTACCTGATAAAAACACAGGGTTCATGCTGGATGTGCACGGTCAACAGAGAATGCTTTCTCCTTCTAGGCATCCGATTTCTAAAGGTCCGTGTCTTATGTCCTTAGCTCCATATATATGTATTGTTAATATATGTTTTTCAAATCAATCACTGTTCGTCATCTTTTTTAATCACTTATATTTTTCATAAAAAAAGAAACAGTTTGTAAAACAAAAATCAGATTATGAAAAGAGAAGTAAGCAAAAGAAGCTTTATAACAGCTAGTATAACGCTTAAATTCTGGCTTCAAACTGTTTTATGTAGATTGAATCAAATTGATGCAGATGATGTACATGTATTAGTTATTTCAAACGTAATGCTCAAAGTAGTTATTCTTGCCAAATGGTACGAGGTTGCCAAGGGATCACCTTAATATCTCTATAAACCAACATTACATATAATGAAATTAATAAAAAAAAAAAACATCCGCATGACCTTTTATTTAACATTTTATGCATCACCCTTTATAATTATGTTTTGACCAATAAATTGTGATTATTTATATAGGAGGACGATTACATGATGTAAGCGTAAGTGTCATTGACAATGGACGTAACGTTTCGTGTGGTTTCTACCCCGGGCCAGCAGCCAGTGAAAACCGTATCCTGTTTCTGTGTGAGAAGGAGACCAACGGGAATGGAGTTACCATTTCTATTTTATCAAGAAATGGACAAAATGATTCTCTTAGTGTTTGCAAGGTTGAGATATATGGTTAATCTTCAGAAAAAATGAATTCAATAATTCAGAAAGGAGAAAATATGTTTCTTGACGAGTTTTATATAAACAACACCTGTATGATGCATTGGTTTACATTTGCTATTTAAGCGTAATTCAAAATGAGTCACTAGCTATTATGCATGTATATAGGTTCAGCGATTTTAAATATCATTGTAAAGGCCATAAATCTTTTTAACAAAGCAATTCAAGAAAGAGGGATATATGCTCATATAAATAATACTTACGTCGAATGTCACTTCTGTAGCAAAAATGAGTTAACAGATAATGATTGATAATTTATATTATGCTGTCGTTGTTGATAAATACTGCTATCTTATGGTATCAGAGTTTTTATGTACTTTTTCATATTTTTTAGTTTATGCTGACAAATTCTAATTAATAAATTATTTTCTTTGTTTGTTTGTTCTTTTTTGTTCCATCTTTTTTTCTACCAATTCTATCTAAGAAGGATATAGAGATAACGAACAGTATTCAATCTCAACGTCCATTAAAAAATATACAAAATAAGAGCAGAGCAAACACGGACCTCCGAAACAACAGAGGTGGGATCAGGTGCCATGGAGGAGTGAGCATCCCCTGCCGACCGGACACACCCGCCGTGTGCTCGCTGTCATGATCAGGAAATAACGGAAAAAATCCGTCGTCAATTCAAATCAATAATTCAATGTAAACATTGTTCAAAATACTGTCGATACTGAGAATTCCTGGCATATACATGCACCAAGGCTTTTGAAATAAAATCATTTTTTTTTAAATTGACACGAAAATACGAGGCATCTTAAAATTACCCTTTACGTCATCTATTTATCTTCTGTTGGACAAATACCTATACAGTAAAAAATGTGCAGTAAATACGAAAGCCCAGAAGGCTTATTCGAGATTCGAGCTTCGAAATACGAGATTCGAGTTTCGAGATTCAAATTCCAAACTAACCAATCAAAAGGCAGGTTCAACATTTGATTACTCCCCTTTATTACGTTTTTACTATTAAGAAATCGTTGAATATATTTATAACAAATGGGTCATTTGCTTAAATAATAATGCAAGAAAAAATGATATATGTATTAAAATGAAATCAAATTGAATTTTGGGTTACACTTTGAAAAATATATATAAAATCTTATTTTTCCTCATTAAACAAAACAATAGATACGTAAATAGAATAATATATGGTCTTATCGTTGAATTGCGGAAGTTGTAGGCCGACAATTGTTTTTAATGAGAACAATGATGAGGGAGAAAATTATTATTTATATGAAATACTAATGAGGGTACATTTCATTACATTGTGCCGCCCCCCCCCCCCCCCAATAATTTTGCCGATATATAGAACACTAAAGAAAACATAACTACTATATGTTTGTGCCCCCTCAATAAAAACGTCCAATAAACTTTTTTTGCTTTTTTTGGCTGTCAAGAAATTTTTGTATTATGAAAACTGAAAATGTATGGCAGTGCCCCCCCCCCTCCAAATGAAATGAGCGTTATGGTTTTATACTAGTTTATTTTAGTCTTTGACCATAACACTATGGGCAGAGACTAAAATATAAAGCCACAACGCCACAGTCCTGCAGCTAAGCTAGACTCATCTTCTATTTGATATGGAATGACAAATTCCAGTCTGTATTGTATCTATAATTTTTAATCAAAGCCTTAGAAAAGATAAGTAATTGAAAACTGATTTTTTATGTATTTCCACTATTACGAAACCTTAAAAAAATTGTGTGCCCTAGAAAAACGAAATCACATCAATAAGAATATCAACAACTTGATTAATAATGATGGTAAATATGTAAACAAACAACAAGAGATCTTGGAAGAAGTAAGAAAATATTATAAAAATCTGCATGAAAATAAAGATCAAGAACTCGATGATGTTAATATTGAAGATGTATGAACTTGTGTATTGTTTGGTGATGTATCTTGCGAGACCCGAGCGGTTTCCTATAAATAATTATTGAATATATTTATTTTGTTCACGCATCGCAAGGTTGACAATGAATGTTCATAACCACACATTTGCACCCCCCTCCCCCCATTTACCATTCCCCTAATACTTTTCCGATATAATGTACTATAGAAAATATAGTAACTTTAGCTTATGTCCATTAAAAAAACGTCCAAAAACCATGATAACCCCTATTTTTCGGGGTGGGGTGGGGGCAGGGGGATTTTCAATGATTTTTTTTTTTTCTTATTCCCAATGGGTCTGAAAAAAAAATCATTATCTTTATTAAGAATGCATGTTTCATCCATCAGTATTTAAGGGGCTGTCTATTTGTTTTATAAACTTGGTCACTGGCCACTTTCTCATACCCTGTCAGAAACTCTAACCACCTTGAAACCCGTAGTACTAATTATTACAAAGACGTAGCATCGATTTTGAAAGAGGGCAGACAAAAATATTATATCAAACCTGAAAAAAAAAACTGACAGAAAAATATGTGCAAACCCGAGAATTCCATTTCGGGGCGTGAAGGGGGGGGGGGGGGGGGGGCGCGGGAATCAAACTTCATTTAGTACCTAATTTCTTTTAATACACTACCACTTAACCTTCTTTCACTATACCGCACCGAGGGCTGGCAATTGACCTTTCGATAAACATTTTCAATAGTAAAACAAGATGTGCTTGTGAAACAGTACGCGCTCGGCGGCAACAAAGTTCGGAAAAAAGCTATTTTTAGCATTAAGGTCACAGTCAAGGTCACAAGGTCATTGACCTTGGTGTCATTTGGAAGAACCTGATTAGTGGAGTTTTTTTTACCAAATATGAAGTCTCTATCTTTCACGGTTCAAAAGTTATGGCGAAGCTTAAAGTTTGCAAAAAAAAGCTATTTTTAGCATATCGGCCACAGTCAAGGCCACAAGGTTATTGACCTTGGTGTCTTTTGAAAGAGCTTAATTAGTGGAGTATGCATACCAAATATTAGGTCTCTATCTTTCATGGTTCAAACGTTATGGTGAAGGTTAAAGTTCGGGACAAACAAACAAACAAACAAACAGACAGACAGACAGACAGACAGGACAAAAACAATATACGCCCTGGATCTGTCGATCCAGGCGCATAAAAATATGTTTGGAAAAAAAGGGAAGGCTTGTACTGTTAATCTAAGTTTACTATTATGTCATCAACCTTGTAACCAAAATAGATAATCCGAAATATATATATTCTTGATGTAAATCTATTATAACCTTTGAGAAGCTATTATAAATTTAAGCATATCTTGCAAACCAAAATTCAATATTTCTTTAAATCTCGTTCTGATAATATATAACACTTTTTCTTGCGTTGTAATTTAATCAAATGGCCTCTTGTATAAATATACTCAACGATTTCTTGATAGTAAAAAAATAACAAAGGGGAGTAATTGAATCTCAAACCGCCTATTGATTGGTTGGTTTGGATCTTAAATCTCAAAACTCGAATTTCGAATCTCGAATTTCGTATCTCGTATTTCGAATCTCGAATGAGCCTTCTGGGCTTTCGTAAGTAAACCAGTTCCAACTTCGTCCCATAGCTTGTTAATTTTTTTACTTCCATAAAACAGTTCAAACAATGATCAAGAGAAAATGACTTTATAGTCTCTAAATTCAGTAGCGGAACGCTGCTCTCCACACATGAAAGAAAAATATCTTCTTTTTTTAATGTATTTATTTTGTTTTAAAGTAAATATTTTTCTTCCAGATTTTTGTAAATATCATTCCTCTTAGCATTTCCATCTTCCCTTAACTAAAAGATAATAATAAAATATTCTTAAGATTTTCTGAATAAAATTACAAACAAAACATACTAGCACTGGACTATTTTTCAATTTTAGATGTAAACTGTAATTTTCAAGTTCCAAGGATTCTTTGTATTATCACTTGCTGATGGAGAGCTGCAAATTTTGATATTTACTCGGCATTAAGGACACTTTAGGAGCGAGGAATCCTTTACGAGCCAGCATTTATTGCAATACAGGAACCTTGATTTGTACGGTCTCATCGGAAGGTTTTCTGCTGGTTTTTGTTCTTGTATTTTTTCTTCTTAAAGATTGATTTTAATAGTTCACTCGATCCTATTCCACCTTTTTTACAGTCAGGCAGATTCGAGATTTGACTTAAATTTTAGACCTGATTTAGACCAAAAAAGATCTACGAAATGTCCCCTTTCTTCCAGACTTTTATAAAATATTTATAGAATTACAAATGAAACATTTTTAAACACACAATCTTTTATCTTTAAATTCGAGTAACATGGCATACGATTCAACCGTGCACAATCACCCGAAGAATCTTCGCTTGTAAACGAGAGTTGTCAAATAAACGCAATCTATAAATGATAACGTACCGGGTGGCACCCTTTGGTTTTTTTCGTTCCGAGTTTGCTATGTGAAGAAAATAATGGTTTGAAAATGAATGTACTGGTTCATCGTAATGTATCATACTGTAATGATTAAGTATCATTGTCATTTTCTAAAATATTATTTCACTAAACCTACATAAAAATTTGTCCGTTAAAGATGTTTTGACAAATAAATGCTTATAAATGCAAAGTGTTCTTTTCAGTCTGGAATTTTACACAGGATTACGTAAGAAATTCGTAAATCATGGTTTATTGCAGTGTTGTACTTAGTTTCATCATCCAATCCAATCTCTAAACGGATATCAAAGAAATCATATTTACATACTATAAATTTAGGATATCTTTAGAAAATTGTTCGTTTATCCTCTCCCGACTATTTTTTTTTAACTCTGGAAATGATATCTTTATTTTTTCCGATCTTTATTCTTTCCATCAATATCAATGTTGAATTTTTAAGGAAAAAAAATCCAACATCTACCTAGCAAACCAATATTTTACCCTGAGTCGGGAGAGGGCAAGCAAACGTTATGTTAAAGATGGCGTTACTTGCCATATCTTCATTGTTTTAGTGAGTTGACGACCTTCAAAAGTGCTTAAATAATTCTAAATCTACCGAAAACACTCCTTATAGCAATTCTATAGTGATTGGAAATAAGAATAGCATTTATGAAACATACTATAATTTCTTCAAACATATTCACAAATAATATTGGAAAATATACACTTTAGTTTTGCAATATTTTATTCAATGCTTGATTGATAAATCAGAAAACATGAGTCGGAACTACAGGCCAAGCAAAGATCGGACCGGAACTACAGACCAAGCAGAGATCGCACGATCCGGGGGGTCTCCATGACGGAAGCTCGTCTGGTGAGGGAACTCTGGGCTGCTGACGTCACTTCCTGAAACTCGTCTTTGCAAATATATAGGTTTTCCGAATCAATTACCACCGGTAAAAATTCCAAATAATCTTGTAGTTTGTCTGCCAACTCGTTCATGTACTGCAAAAGGGCTCGCAGACCATCATGGTCGCAATAACCCGAGAGCTTCGTCACAGTGGCACGAACAACTGACTTCATTTCACTAAAAAGATATATTTTGTGGAACTTTACTTGCCATATTTATGACGGAATAAAACAAAAAAAATGATAAGATATATAAAAAAAATGCAGTACTTATTAACCTGCATACGTTAGAGTCATTTCCTTTCAATTTATTCAGGAGGGAAACAGCTTTCGACTTCAGGTCGCCTAAGAACATTTTCTGAACATCGTCATTGTTCATGCAGTCGATCAACTTGTCCAGCCCTGTAAAGGGAGAAACATGGCAATAGTATTATACATGTAGCACAAACATCCTTTTTTTCCTAATAGCTAACTTTTGACATATGTATTTTTTCTAATACCATTTTAATAGAATTTTTGGGAGATAAACATTTTGCGATTTTTCATAACAATATATCGTGTAATTTAAACGAAAAGTAATTTTTGTAATTTGTGTTGTCAAGAATGGTTGTTCATTTAACAGTGAATTTCTGCGTCGGAATGAATTGTTACAAATGTTCAAATGTAAAGATTTCAACACCGTCGTTAAAACAGCTTTAGTTGTATCCTCACTAATTAAAACTTCTGATTATACAGTACATATATTTATCAAACCTAAATTATATATGTATTTTGCAATAGATTTTCATCAAACATAAACATAATTTGAAGAGAAGAAAAGTATTCAGCTGAAAAAATGTCATTTAATATTTTTCATAGTTTCTATATCAATAAAATTAGCACGTTCCACGTATTGTAATGTAGTTATATCAATAGGTTTCTCTTTAAGAGATAAAACCACACCATACAGTATCAAAATTGAGTTGCAACACTTCATGTTTAGAAACCCACCATTTTCTGTATAATCTGTATTCTAAGCATTGATTTAAAATTTGCCATTGAACATGTATCTCTTTAATAAATTATGAATTTGGATAAGTTTAAAATTCTAAAACGTAAATTGAGTATTTCTTTCAAAAACTTAAAAACAAAGGTTACTTAAATTTCCAAACAAAATCTGTTATTCAATATTTGAAAATTAATATATTGAAACTGAAGTCCCTTGTTTTGTTGATAAAGTGTTGAAATGTCGAAAGGCAAAGCTTACGGAAATATTGCACAGGACTTAGTTTGATATAAGCATGGTAAAATCCGTCATGTTTACATTCCATGTGTTCGGAGAAAAAAAATCTATGACGTCACATATAAACAAAAAAGCGAAATAAGAAATATCTACGAATGATTTATCTCAATAGCCACGTGCACGTTAAAATATTTTCATGTTAATTTACAAAATACTCTAACTGATGATGATTATGATCCTTTTATTGCAATAAACTGCCCTTGCTTTCAGTAAAAATGGTTTTGAAATTCTACTGAAATTGCACAAAATGAAATAAAAAAAAATGTTATATAGACAAATTGAATTATCGTCGCTCTAACTATGAGTTCACCTTGAACGCTGGCACTATTTAGATTTTTTCTAATCTGATTTCATGATTGTGCTGGGTATTCCTACCATTGATTCAATCATATTCCACTTCACAGAGGGAAAATGTAAATCTTTTTTGCTTTTTGTTTTTGTTATTTCTTGTTGTTTTTCAAATCAAAATTTTTACAGAAAAAAAAGAATATACACAATGTCTCCATAATTTCCATTTGGAGCGAAATCAAGCACATGCATATGTTGATTAAATGCGGTCATCGTTATTAATAAATTAATGAAGCATATTAATTTTAGTCCCTTTTCAGAGAAACAGGAAACGAAATGATAATCATTGCTCAGATGTTTGCAGATTATATTTGTATTTTTAAATCTTAAAAACTATGTTTTGCAAATATTTAACTTGATGTCATAGTTATCTTCCTTAGAAATGTAAACATACAGGGCTTTTATCACGCTTACGTTGTGTTTGATAATGACGTGTGCTATATTGGACTCAGCACCACCTTCCGATATTTCTACAGTTTATTACTGAAATGAAGGAAGTTCATTTAGTCGTGAATTTAATTGTTTTCTGACAGAATTTCACACAAATTTACTTTTAATACTGTACATTGTAGATGCCTAAAAAGTGGTTTTTCTATCTATATGCAGAGAGGGGACAAAATTCTTAAATAATGTTAAACTTAATTTATTTATTTATATCTAAGAGATACATGTCTTTGTTTTATTTTAATGTTTACTTAAACTTCACGTAATTAACACAGTAATGGGCCTGTAAAAATAAAATATTAAAATCCCATGTCCTGCTCCACTTTGAAAACAATTACGAAGCCTAGCGAATTTTTATTCATCAGATATTATTATGCTTCCTGTCAGCTTGTCTCTATATAACCCATACCTTACTATTCTCGCAAAGTGTTCTAATGATTTATATAGCTATACTATGCCGAAATAGTGCAAAGTGACAACGCCCATTCGAGATTGTCATTCCAACGCGCTACTGATTACGCCAGAGACGCCGTTATCTATAGTACTGTTCGAGGGCCATTCAAAAATTACACGGACCTGTTGCACAGAAAAATATTTGACGACATAATCGCGCAAAATGTCACACATAATATAAAATAAAATACTTATATGGTCTTCAAAATTTCATATCAAAATGTTGTTAATTGATATCAATTTTGAGTGCTTTTTCAGGACATATCATTAAGTCACGGAGCAGCAGAATCTTCTACGTCAAAGGCATTATAAAAAATATGCTATTGAGCTGTCATTTTTCAACATTTTTTTTCAAGAGTATTTGTACGGTTTGAGTTACCTTATCTACTCAACATCCAAACACCATTTCTTGTCAAGCTTAAAATCTGTTAAACAAGTACAGAATATTCTTTTAATGTTTTAAAACCAAAAACTACAGGTATTTATGAGATATATTATGATATTGGTGACTCTCAATCACGTTCTTAACAGTCCGGATAAAGTTTTTGTCGATAATCTTCTTCCTGTCCTCCCATTTAGACTTTTTACAAAGGTCTAACCATGTCTAACGGCCTAAAATTTCAATTTGCTTTCCGTGGACGCATGTCACGAATTCCCTAGTTTACTACATGTTTTATTATGCATATTTTGGATATATGTTAGCGATATCTCGACCATTGCACATGATTTAACAAAATTGCGGTGCGCCGTCAATTCAGGAGACGTCATTTTCACAGTCGTTTTTACGGGAATCGCGTCAGAGAAAAATCACAATATTTCTGTTAGTACTTCAAATATCACGTCAGAAATCTAAATACATAATAATAGAACAATTTAAATATTCATTTGAGAAAATTGTCGAAAAATATCGCGAATTATAGAAAATTAATGAGTTAAATTTTGGATCCCGCATGCCTTTGCTTCAAATTTTTTGTCGTGCTCCGTACCTCTCCATCAGCGATATCAATTACCGATAATTTTAGTAGATTTTTTTTTGAATACAGAAATTTTGTCCAAAATTTATTGAAATCTTTAAGATACATATTTCTGTGAATTACTATATGACTTCTGTATGAGTAAAATTTATAATACCACAGTCTGCGTAATTTTGAACTGCCCTCGTACTATAAAATACATAAACTTAGTTTCAAATATTTTACACGAAAAATTAAAAATAAACAAAATAATTCTTCTAAAATAGTTTTTTGCAATCCCGCTTCCTTCACTCAAATGCCATTCTCTAAAACTATCTGTAGATTATACCTAAAGCATGGATTGTTAAAAATTTTAAGTAAAAAGATTATGACGTACATGTTGCACAAGGTGGCGTCATAATAGAGTAGACGAATGTAACGGGTGATGAAACATTGGAATGGAGAAAATATTGCCGTTTTTGTACAGTAACAACAGTCAGCATTATAATAACAATAGTGTTTTGTTTTGCGTGCACTATGCCTAAATAGTAGTCAGGCTTTGACACATGATGCAGGACCCGGAAACAATAGCCTCAGGCTCGTGCACCATGTGTAAAACCCTGACTACTTTTTAGGCACAGTGCACGCAAAACCCAACACTATTATATCAATAAAATGTTTCTTTCGATATGGATGAAGGTGTAAATGAAATTGGGTTTGACATTATTGATTCCGCAAAAAGAAAACCCATAAAATAAAAGAAAAAAAAATATGAGCATTTATTTAATTGCTTAATATTTTCCTAGCTTAGTTTAGTTTCAAGGGGAAACATTTACTACAGCTATAACTATGTTCAACTTATTTTTCAAAAGATCAAACTATCATTTTCCTTACTATCAGCTTTAGTACACGTGATGCTGTAATAAGATTCAAGAAGTTCCTTCGCTTTCTGTCGGTACTCTATGGGAATACATGGATTCATCCCCGTGGGTACACAAGCCTTGTACATGTCGATGTACCTAAAAGAGTTACGAGAAGGTATAGTTATTAAGTAAAGAGAAAATATATGAACGTGTTTTTCTTAATAATATATAATTTTCAAGGTTTCATGTTTGTTACATTATGGACAAAGTTTATATCCAAAGATTTTGAAAAATAATAACAAGAGGCAGTTGTCTGCTACTTTTAATGGAAGTTTCAAATCCAAAATAATCTTACTTAGAATAGATGACATTTTGACAAAAAAAATATTTCCGGGGTCCATGTTATACGTATGTACTCTTATAGAGTTGTAATGCTGATTAATTTCATTTCGATCGACCTCTGCTTGTTATGTTCATCAATTTCTATTTCATTTATTACATTCAACTCTAATGTAGATAATGGACAAATAAGTTTAGCTTAATTTTTTTTTTCAATGTCCTATGAAGTAAAGAAAAAGAACTATAGATTCATATTATAAATAAATGTCAAAGAGTATCTCAAGTTCTTTAAAATATACATACATACACACACATATATTATATAAATATTGCATGTAGTTGAGTGTTTCACCCCCCGAAAACCATTGTCAACTTCGGCTGCGCCTCGGTTGACAATGGTTTTCTTGGGGTGCAAATTTTCAATGTTACACTCAACTACATGCAATATCTATTATATTATACTGAATGTTTTATTCAAATACATATAACAGTGAACCGTGCGCGCATATATTCTGCGCAGTTGCTATTTTTTGGAATACCACACGTCGTCAAGCAATGTTTACTGTTGCTACGCTGGAAGGCGTGGCTTCATTTTTCAACGTGTAGTAGCGTTTTTTAACAAATGTTTTTCGACCAATCAGATTCAACTAATTTTACATGAAGTATTATATATATATATATATATATATATATATATATATATATATATATATATATATATATATATATATATATATATATATATATATATATATATATATATATATATATATATACTCGCATATATAGATTTGTTCAATATACCATTTACAACTTAATTTAACACATTCCAATCCATGTATCAACTGTTTTCTTTATATGTTGTTTCCAGAAAGACGTAAGATACTTTAAGAAATCTTATTAAAAAAAACTACTAAGACACTTACTGTATCTATTTCATTTTTACATTCATAAAAGTCTTTCCTAAACTGTGTATATGAGTATATGGGTAAAAAAAATACGTTAATGGTAATCGAACATCCAAACTCTATGATAAATGTGATGACTGTATCTTTTCTATCGTCAACATCCTTACTTATGCAGCAATATACCTTCATCACCTGCATACAGAGTTTATGTATCCCAGTTTATTCAATAGGCAAGAGCATGCTCTACGTATGAACAATTTCTTAAATGAGATAAATTATTGACAAACCAGTTGATGAAACGATAATATTAGCAGTATGGTTTAGAGTCATCATTTCGTAAGTTCTAGGGTCGATTTAATGACCTTTTCAGCAAATACAATGTATTATTGAGTCGAATGTTGACTGGAATTTTTCGTAATTACTGTTAGTCCAATATTTATACACTGAATTGACAACAAATTTTTGCGGTCTGGAAGAGATGCTTACTCCTCTTTGGCACCTGATCCCACTTAAGATGTTTTGGAGGTCCATATTTGCTATGCTCCTATTGCATTGTTTGAGGGACTTTTGATCTTGAATATTGTTCATTATCTCCACATCTTTCATCAAATCTTCAGAAACATGGGATTTGATCTATTGTGAAAACACAAGATTGCCAAATCTGCTACATGTACTTAACTAGTAAAATCAAAAATGAAACATGAATAGATCACATGCTTAATCTATCAAACATCTTTTAACTTAACCAACCTGCATTCAAAACTGAAGAGCCCGGGTTTGAAGCGAACTCCCTCTACATCTCCATCTGGTCCATATGTAACATTTATTCTTTCGCTCAGTTCTCTCTGAATATCAATTTTACTTTCCATGCACACTCTGGCTGGACAATTAATTTGGGTTGCTAGAGATTTTTAAAAAGTGTTAGTTATAAGTATACTTCGTTTATTCTATTTGAATTTATATCTAACTTCAGTTAGCTCCTGCAAATACATAGAGAGAGAGAGGGGGAGAGAGAGAGACTTACCTTCATAGATATCAAAATAAAGTGTTGCAATAAATACTACTGTGAGTAATCGAAAAGAAACCATTTTGAAACAAACTTTTCTATTCCTCCTTCAGTTCTTCAGTGAAATATACATTTTGATTCAAATTTATTTATAACAAAACACTTTCTAGAATTATGCAATCTGGAATGCGGTGGGCAATAGAGCCAAATTATCTAATTTCATCGTCAATCGGACATTTTGAAGTCATGTGTTGCATTTAAGTAATTTTTATATAATTTTAAATTATCTTTGTCAAATTTATTTGAAAATGTCATGCCGTTTCTTGATAACTCTTCTTATTGGTACATGTGTATGACATTAATGAAATATTCTGCAAACTAAATTTTAAAAAGGCTATACATTAAATAGTGTAAAAGTGAAGGTCGGGAGTTTAAAACAGATAATAACTGAAAAAGATAAGAAAACAAGAGGCCAAGGGGCCACATCATTCACCTGAGCAATTGGCTAGAAAAAAGAACATATCAGATCAGAACTGAAAGTTAACTGAGGGTGGGGAGGGGGGGGGGGGAGGGCTTGAATTTTAACCCACCAGGGGGTCATGATTTGAACAAACTAAAATCTACAATACCTGAGGATGATTCCCTATAAATATCACTAAGCTTTGAAGTACTTGAAAAGAAGATTTTAAAAGGTTTCCCTTTATATTCCTATTTAAAACTTTTAACGGCCATTTGGCCCCACCCTACCCGGGGTCATGATTTGAACAAACTTGAATCTACACTACCTGAAGATGATTGCACATGAGTTTCATCTTTCAATGGTTCTTGACAAGAAGATTTTTTTCTATATATTCCTATGTAAAAGTTTGATTGGCCATTTTGGCCCCACCCTACCCCCGGGGGTCATGATTTGAACAAACTTGAATCTTCACTACCTGAGGATGATTCCACATGAGTTTTATCTTTCCTGGCCCAGTGGTTCTTGAGAAGAAGATTTTTAAAAGATTTTTCCTATATATTCCTATGTAAAACTTTGATCGGCCATTTTGGACCCACCCTACCCCCAGGGTCATGATTTGAACAAACTTGAATCTACACTACCTGAGGATGACTCCACATGAGTTTCATCTTTCCTGGCCAAGTGGTTCTTGAGAAGAAGATTTTTAAAGATTTTTCCTATATATTCCTATGTAAAACTTTGATCAGCCATTGTGGCCCCACCCTACCCCTGGGGGTCATGATTTATACAAATTTGAATTTACACTGCCTGAGGATGATTCCACATGAGTTTCATCTTTCCTGGCCCAGTGGTTCTTGAGAAGAAGATTTTTAAAGATTTTTCCTATATATTCCTATGTAAAACTTTGATCGGCCATTTTGGCCCCACCCTACCCCCGGGGGTCATGATTTGAACAAATTTGAATTTACACTACCTGAGGATGATTTCACATGAGTTTCATCTTTCCTGGCCCAGTGGTTCTTGAGAAGAAGATTTTTAAAGATTTTTCCTATATATTCCTATGTAAAATTTTCATCGGCCATATTGGACCCACCCTACCCCCGGGGGTCATGATTTGAACAAACTTAAATCTACACTACCTGATGATGATTCCACATGAGTTTCATCTTTCCTGACCCAGTGGTTCTTGAGAAGAAGATTTTTTAAAAATGCCATTAATTTTTTTCTAATTCATAATTATCTCCCCTTGGAAAAGGGCATGGCCCTTCATTTGAACAAACTTGAATCCCCTTTACCCAAGGATACTTTGTAGCAAGTTTGGTTGAAATTGGCCCAGTGGTCCTTGAGAAGAAGATGAAAATGTGAAAAGTTTACAACAACAACAACAACGACAACGACTACGACGACAACGATGACAACGACAGACAACGGACAAATTTTGATCAGAAAAGCTCACTTGAGCCTTTGGCTCAGGTGAGCTAAAAATATAACTCAGTGGAAGTTAAAAATAGCCGAACTTTCTATATTAGCGAACTTTGAAGATTTTAAAATCTATATCCTATAACATTGAAATTCAATTCATCTAAAAATGTTTGTACTCTCAAAGTAGTCTTGTTTTTAATATTTCCGTGAACACATTCGGCTGTCATACTTCATGGAAATAAGTATTGCTATGATATTTTTTTACTCATATGGAGAAGCCCAATGTACATTTAAACGAATTTTTTAAACGGATATATCAAATTATTGATGGATAAACAAAGTAAATTCACGGTTTCCTGTAAGTTCGCTATAACTTTTTTTGTACCGAAAAAGCAATTACACTCCTTGATAGGCATTTGTTGCTCCTCTTAAATTTTAACTTCTAAGTCCAAAACTGATCATTCCAACAAAAACTCACTGTCAGATTAACAGAGACTCCGGTAGATAAACAGATGGATGGAAAGGCATACTACCTTGTCCTAAGTCATAAAAATCATTATTTAGCAGATGCCTTCAGAAACTTGAAAATATACTAAAGAAGAATATGGAGATAACGAACAGTATTCAATCTCAAAGTCCATAAAACAATACAAAATAAGAGCAGATGAAAAACGTACCCTCGAAACATCAGAGGTGGGATCAGGTGCCATGGAGGAGTGAGCATCCCCTGCCGACCGGTCACACCCAGAATGTGATCCTTGTCATGATCAGGAGATAACGGAAAAAATCCGTCGTAAATTCAGTGTATAAATAATGAACTAACAATTGCAATTGACCAGTATGAAAAACGTCAGTCAGCATTTGACTCAATGATAAATTGTATTTGCTGACAAGGTCATTGTATCGACCATAGAACTTACGAATGATGACTTTAAACGAGACTGCTGATATTCTTGTTTCATCAACTTGCTTGTCAATAATTTACCTCGTTTTAGAAATTTTTCATACGTGGAGCATGCTCTTGCGTATCGAATCAATTGAGATATACATGTGTATATACTCCGTATCCAGGTGATGAAGGTATATTGCTGCATAAGTAAGGGAAGTTGACGATAGAAAAGTTAAAGTCATTACGTTTATCGTATAGCTAAAATCATACTCTGATATACTTCGAACACATCAAGAGCAGGAAGAAACTCTTTACAAACTGAACTGTTGAATTCCACTACATAGCTAGAACTGAAGCTCTTTTGGAACATGTGAAGAAAGTGCAAGAGGATATTGTTATTTGGAAAACTGTTATCACACGTTTTATCACACGAAAAAAAAATTGAAGCAAGCAAAACATGGTGTACACGGAATCATGGCATATTTATACGGTACATGTATAAATAAAGATCACCTTATTCTTGACGTCATGCTTTTTAATCAAATATTTGCCAAGTGAAAATAAATCAAGACGAGAATATTTTAAATAGTTTAAAAGAACATACTGTGAATATCATATGTGATGTATATAGAAAAAATGCATATCATTTTCCAGATCACATCTTGTATCAGACCGAGACACCAATATTAGCCAGAGGGCCGAAGTCCCTCTCGTTTCAAGATAGTTTTTTTTTTCCATTTGAAATCATGCAACAATCAGCTATAATTGTTTGTCTATCATATAAATAAGAAATAAACGTTATGAAAGTCGAAAAAAGTTTTATTTGATATCATAGGCATTGATACTATGGATTAATTCTAGATTAAACATTTTATGATAAAATCTAGTTTCAATTTAACCACATTTAAGTGTGGATTTATGTTTAAGTACAATTGTTTTAGTTAAGTGCCTGTAGAATAAGAAATCGGGTTTTATCTTTTTCAGTTTTGGCTGAATAAAAATGTCAAGCAATTGAAGCTGTCAAATTTACAAAAAAGGTGGATCCCTTAATAACTATGTTCCATTTTTGAGGCATAATGTTGAGACAATATGTATTTGTTGGGAACTGTCTGAATGTTTTTGTTAAAGAATATGTGCACTGTTTCATGTTTGATATATTACATGCATGGTTCCTGGGTCACTTCAGAACATGAAAACAACAAAAGGAAAAAGCGTTATTTACGTAATTACGTATTTGACAGTCTTTTAAGCACATTTCTTTCCGTATATTTTTTCATTTAAATTTCTTCTAATAGAATATCTTATTGGTTGATAAATGGTCACACAAAAAGAAATTTCTAAGCATCAATATTGAGTTGACAGTGTTAGAGGAATTTTTTAGCTCTAGATATGTGGTTAATTGGTTATGTACCTGTTAATAACTAGTGTAATCATTTAGAGTTCAATTAAGGCAAAGTAAAACATTTAAACATTTAAAAAAATTAAACATTAAAGCTATTGCTGCAGAGGAGGTAGCAAACAAATTTTTGTTTTCCTAGCAACATTTTCCCATGACCTAGAGTGCGTCATATACAAAGGTTGATCCACAAATAATGTCACAACTTCGACAATATTGCCACTGGTCGACGTAATAACAAAATTATACATGATAGAAGCTATATGCATTTCAAATCAGTCCTGAAAAATTCAAATTACATTGTTTATACTTCTCAAAATATCGGTTTTTATACAAAGTCCGATTATGGTAGTCGCCGCACCTAAATAACGTCATATGACAGACATGCACTGCCAAATAGTGGATCAGTCTAATTACATCGAAATGTGCTTTTATATAATTAAGTGTGAAGTGTAGGAAAAGACTACATCTACTATCAAGTAAACAATGATCTCATATTATGGAACGATGCTTTAATATTTTACAGTTATTTTCTGATATCCAAAAATGACTTTTTGAAATCAGATTGATTAATCATATACATTGCTTAACGACGAGTCGGCACAATATTTTTCAGCATTGATATCAAAAATTCGATTTTTTGATATAAAAATTATTTTCTGATGTCAGAATATAATTATAAGAGTATATAAGAGTACATATAATTATAAGAGTATTGATATCAATGATTATGAGGTTTTAATATTTTTGAGGTATTTTCTGATTTATTTTTATGCATCATTTGGTACATTACATTTGATAATATGACGCCGAATATTAAATATACGCACACAGTTGCATTACATTTGGATCAACCCTCGTAATTTCGAATTGTTTGTCTGTTTATCACGCTGGGATTGTCGATTTTTTTTAATGTAAAATCATGACAATTTTCTCATTATGTTAGTA